ATCAAGAATTTTGAAATATTGTTTGCAATCACCCTTTTCGCGAATATTGCGGTTATTAATTAATAATGAATAAGCCAAGATTTGTTATGTAATTTTGCTTAGCAAGTGTCAAGGTTTGAGTGAAAGTACACGGATAAAAAGGATTTCTTAGATATAGAATTTTATTTTTCTTAAAAATATTTATTTGAATAGAGTTAATTTGATTTGATTTAAGACGAATGTTTTGTTACAAGAATGTTCAATTTCTTTTAAATAGTAAATATATTTCTTGAAAAAAACTCTTGGTTCAAGAATTTTTCTTCATTGAAGAAACGCATTGCGTTAATTCAAGTAAAATATTTCTTATTTTCTAAAAATTACCCTTTTCTTGGGACAAGAGAATCAGGGCTTGTAAATTTTACTTGTAGAATATTAAAATTTATTGTTCTTGTATTAAGAAAGTCTGATCGTTTGACTTTTCGTTTCAAGAATAATTATTAGATAATTTCTTGTATTTACGAGCTGTCCGTTGGGGAGGGGATAAACTTGTTTCATACGTCCTACACCCTCATTTGAAAAGTAACCGTGCTTGTGTTTACTTAAATGTTTAAAAATGAGTGATTATTCGAACGATTACAGTGCCGTAGACATTAGGTCATTATTGACTGAATGGAATACTCCAGAAAGTAGGGGTAAACCATTTTTTAACTTTTTTTGACACCATGTACATTTTTATTTTTATTTATTTGTAAATCTTTGTGTCAAAAAAGTTCAAAATTGTTTACCCCCCCTCTGCTTCTTAAAAATCCCGAATGTAGCTTAAATATTAACTATACTGAAGAAAATTTCAAATACTTGTTTGAAGAAGTACTCGTCTTAAATGAAATAAATATTATCTTTAACCAAGAATACATTTTATTAACGCAACACACAAAATCTTTCTATAGAGAAAAGAACGGTTTCATTGAAGAATTCCTTTGATTAATGCGAAGAATAATGTCTTGAATGAAGAATAATTACTACTCCACCAAAACTCAATTATTTTTGTTTTTTTTTCCTCAAGTAATTTTATTTTTTATTCAAGAATATTTATTCTCGACCCAAAATGCGACAATTTTAATAACAAGAGTTTTTATCATTCGTTTAAGACTGCTTATCTTCTTAAAAAGGAGAAAATATATTCTTCGAGGAAAACATGTAAAACAAGAATAATTTTTACTGCTGGCAAGAAAATATTGTTTCGAAGAGATAGGAATCATTTAGTATCTTGAATGAAGTTAATTTAACTTGGCTGAAGAAATCCTTTTTTACAGTGTACTGTACTTAATTGTAATAAATATTACATACCCAGATATGTAAATATGATATGGTAGATATGTATATCCTTAAATGTAGGAAAAATAATAATTAATATAAATAATTCACTTTAATTGAGAAAATATACATATCTGCTCTCCATTGTTACCATTTTAACTCAGTTATTATTTGAGCTACAAAGTCGGTTAATTTAGCAAATTGGAAGCATTTTTTCTCCTGATTAAAATGGCGAAAACAAAAAATTGAACGTCTGGTTGCCGAAATATATTTCTATAGTCACAAAAATTACGTTTTTTTTTAAACATATTGCATTTTAATGAAAATTGCATTCGCTACGCCCCTTTCTAAAATTATTAATTGTTTTGATCTTAATAGACAAATATTTTCAGACACTAATTAATAAATTCTTAAATGCAAATCAAGCATTGTTAGAATCATTAAATAAGTAAAATTACTTGGATATGTATATTTTCTTAAATGATCATTTTTCCCATTGTTTTCTATGTTAATGGGTAATATAATATTAAAATAATAGTGATTCGCACATATATTTTTTGTAAGTACCTAACTGTGTATATCTTTGTTTTAATTATCTAGTAGAATATCGTAAAAATGCACTAAAACTAACTTTATATTCAATCAAAAAACCTTTCAGGCTGTAAAAAAGACCAACGGGTAAAGTTTTTTACCTCCTAGTCTGTAATAAACCTGAATGGGCCAATAAAAAAATTCGACTACTGTAAGATCTATCTAACCTCACTTTCTAATGTACAATTTTTTTTTAAACTGTCAAGCTGTTTTAACCTCACTTTTTACCAATTCTTAAATGTAGAATTAGTTATAAAAAAATAATAAAGTACAATGCTATAAATTGTATTGCTTTAAAGTGGTGGAAAGGATAGGTACACGAAAACTAGGTGGCAACATCGCATTTATAAAATGCATACGACATTCTTTTTTTAATGACGATCAGATGTAGTTGTTGCTGCCCTGTTGTCAGATTTTAAAATATTGAAAAACACAACAAATATTTACTATTCCTTCTGCATTAGGAATGTAAAAAACGTTTTTTTAAACAACAAAGTAGGTATATTTTTATACGTATTATATTCTGGTACTAAGATACTAACGAGTGAAAAAAACATTAATAAAATAAATAAATTTTAAATTTTGACTTTAATTTCATATATCTATATTAAAATATTAATTTTAGAGATACGACTTACCTATATAGATATGACCTTTTTGTGGAAAACAAAATTTCCTGCAAAAAATGTATTTACTTTTTTCCATAGTGCACCGTTTATAAATTATTGCCAAAATTTTAAAGTACTGCTAAATTAAATTTGTTTTATTTGCGAAAAAATCATGATTAGTTAAATAAGGTTTGAAAAAAACATAAAAATAACAGGTTACATCTCTATAAGAGATATATGTCGTCTATATTTGGCAAATAAATTTAATGAAAGTCCGCTTTCCATTTACCCAAAACAGTGAAAATTCTGCGTGATTTTCTTTTTATTTTTTCTGCATTTTAAATAAATACATAATTTGTTTTACAATTGTATTAATATTTATATTGTTTATATTTAATATTACTGACACTGATTTGTTTGTGTTTGTTGTACTAATCTATAAGAGTGAAATTCGTGTTATAAATATTCATATAAATAAGTTAAATTGGCGGATAAGTAGAAAACCGTAAATAACACTTTTTTCATATTTTAATTGGCGACTTAAAAAACATCGTATCATCAATTTGTCCTATCAGTCCTAGTTTCTATATTTTTTACATATTAGACCTACATAAACAAGGTGTTCAAAAAGGGTAAAACATTTTTAAGGCACACTACGATAGTTCATAGCTACCGGATTTCTTCAAAAATGTGTATTTTATCATTTTTATTTAATTTTTGATTTTAGTATTAAAAAATGCATTAATAAAAATGCCCCAACACCAATGATAAATGTCGATGTTGTTAAGTTTTCTGACAAAATGAATCATCCTTAATAAGGGGTGAAATTAGGGTTTCTTTTATACTAAAGGGGAGAATGAATCAATAAAATCACCAAAAATATTAACACAAGCTTTTAGATTTGATAAGAATAAGTAAAAGCATCCTAAAATCCATTTTAACAAAAGGAAATGCCAATCATTTTAATAATTTGTTTTAATACAAAAATAATTAATTTAGTTGATTTGAGTCTCTCGTCTAGTGACTCGAGACGCAAACTTCATCTTCGGGAATAATAGCCTGCATTATCTTTCGTATAATAATATATATACTATTTAATCAACAAACATTATAGACCAGGGTCGATAATTTTTGAAACCAAAAAAAATAACAGTAGGAAAGGAAAAATAAATTACGGGCGATCTGACTTCGGGAAGTGGGAGGGGGGGGTTTTAAGGGTAAAAAATGGTTTATCTCGATTTCCGGCAAAACTACAAGTCCTATGGAAAAAAGTTAAATGGCAAAGTTGTAGGTAATAAAAGGATCTCCAACTTTTGTAATTGCAATTTTTTTACATATGTAACCTCAAAATTTATGTGAAAAATTCAAAAAACCATGTTTTTGGTTTTTTATTTTTATCTTTTTCAAAAAAAAATTTTTTTCCACGAAATTTGGTGAAAACTTACCTTTTTATGTCCCAAATACACTGTAATTTATTTGATTTGAAATATTTATAATTTCGCCTTATTTTGACTTAATATCAAAAAAGCACCCTAATTTTCAATCGAAAATTCTCGCGTCAAAATATCAGCTTTTTCAAAAAGTCGGTGTGCTTTTTGTTCGTTGAAATCTCTACTTTCTTATGGTGTAAAAAAAATATACATTACTATGGTAAATGTTCTCAGAAAATGCAAAAAATATTATAATGAATAACGAAAAAAACTCGAATTCGAAAATTTATTTTAATCATTATGTACAATTTCATAAAAAAAATGGGATTGTTGCAATTTTTTTTAGTTAAAAAGTTTATTTATTAAATTCTAATAACATTTATGTCAGACAATCTTATAAAATATAAATATTGAATTTAGATACTTCATTCTGATTACGTTATTCATTATAATATTTTTTGTATTTTCTGAGAACATTTACCATAGTAATGTATATATTTTTTACACCATCAGAAAGTAGAGAGTTCATCGAACAAAAAGCACACCGACTTTTTGAAAAAAGCTGATATTTTGACGCGAGAATTTTCGATTGAAAATTAGGGTGCTTTTTTGATATTAAGTCAAAATAAGGCGAAATAATAAATATTTCAAATCAAATAAATTACAGTGTATTTGGGACATAAAAAGGTAAGTTTTCACCAAATTTCGTGGAAAAAATTTTTTTTTTGAAAAAGATAAAAATAAAAAACCAAAAACTTGGTTTTTTGAATTTTTCACATAAATTTTGAGGTTATGTGAAAAAATTGTAAATACAAAAGTTGTAGATCTTTTTATTACGTACAACTTTGACATTTAAGTTTTTTCCATAGGACTTGTAGTTTTGCCGGAAATCGAGATAAACCATTTTTTACCCTTAAAACCCCCCCTCCCACTTCCCGAAGTCAGATCGCCCGTAATTTATTTTTTCTTTAATTTTTATTATATTCCCCTCCTTTTCAAATGGGTTTCATCCTACTGTTATTTTTTTTATCTTTTTACCATTTTTAAAGGCTTCTGCACTGGTCTATTATTGTTTCAGCTGTTGACAGAATGTTGGAGCAAATCCTGAGGGACATGTACATAGATCCTGAGCTGCTGGAGCTCCTGGACGAGACGCAAAAACAAACGCTCTACTGCAAAATGCGGGAGGAACAGGTGAGGCGTTGGAAATCGTGGAACGACAAACTGGGCGACCAACCTGCCAAACCGAAAGTCACCAAGAAAAGGAAGAACGTGAGCTTCATGAAGGGGGTGGACGGCGAACCGTGGGTCTGGGTGATGGGCGAGCACGAGAACGACAAGAGTATAGAGGAGATTCTGCGGGAGGAGGCGTTGGAGAAGGCGAGACAAATGGCGGAAATCGAGACGAAGGAGCTGAGAAAGAAGGTCGAAGCTATGGAGTGCATTTCGCCCAAAATCACCAACTTGGAGGAAGACATTTACTGCTCCATAGATGAGTTGAGGAACAGTATGAACTCATCTGCGAACAATTCGTATCAAAACAAAGTCAACAGGCATAATTTCGTCAACACCAAGGAAGTGCTTCAAGATATCAATAGGAAACCCTCAAAAGTCTCCTCAAGGGTGGCACAATGGGAAATAAAGCTAACAGAAACCCGAACAAGTGAAATATTGAAAACGATGGAGAAAAAAAACGAGAAAATCGCCGAAGAAGCTGAGTTAGCTGCAAAAAAACACAACGAGTTATGGCTTGAGCAAGGTAAGTTTACCAGCTATTCCAAGTAGTAAAACTGGTTAAATAACTGGCATTCTAAGTAAATTAACCAAAATATAAGTAAAATAACGTTTTTTACAACTTGTTTTTTAACCAATTCCTTGTATTCAACCGGTTGCTATAACCATAAGGTTATTTTTTACTATAATTTAACTAATAAAAGTTTAAATTAAGTTTAAATAACTACAAATTTACTACTAAGTCAACTTTAAAGTATTTTTTACGGTTAACCAAAACGGTTTTATAACGGTACAGATACGAAAAATTACCAAATTTGGGGAATGGTTTATTTCGTTATTTTACCTACATAACAACCTTTTTGATCTACTAAAAGAAAAACGTAATAAAACAATAAAATACAACAAATTTACCTAAAAATAACGCTATAATTACTAACTGTTTGCTCTCTCTTTCTAAAACATTGACATTCGTAATTTCTTTGTTCTTTTAATTTATATTTTACAAAATGGTACTTACAAAGTAATAAAGGCCACCCCAGAGTAAAATTAAAAAATATAACTTAAATTGTCAAAACTAATAATATTTTGCATTAAAACTCAAACGCACATTATTTTATTGATAAAAATAGGCACGATACATCTTAAATATTTTACGGTTTTAAGAAAAATAATTGCTTGGGTAAAAATTTAACAAAACTTAAAACCTACAAAATTTTATAAAATCTTTTAGTTTTAATCATTTTTTAATAACTAACACTTTCCTTATTATATTTTGGAAAATATTTATGAAATAATATTATATAAATTATATTATTATATTATATTATTATATTATATTATTATATTATATAAATGTTATGTTAAATGTCATCTTATGGCGACCTGAAAAAAATGTTCCCTTAAAGTTTTATTTTTCACTTTAAGCTTATTTTTCCTTATTTAGTCAATATTAATAGTATTTATTACCACTAATAACCCAAAAAAATACCAGGCGAATAGGAATTATTTACGGTTATAAAGTGGTCTTAATATCGTAAAATTATGACTTATGAGTAACATTTACCACTGACGTTTAAATTACCGTAAAATTTTCCTTTAAGGGAAATACACTTATAAGTAATTTTCTTTCGTAAAAATTACATCCCTCATAATACTTTAAAGTGTTGAAACTTAAGGGTTATTAAAATAGGTAAAAATAACAAAAGGGCCATTCCACGCGTAACGGATGGGACAGTTGCAAGTTTTTATTTACAAAATTAAATTGTTCTATTATATTACTAATGTCAAATTTTTATAAATGGTTCTAAACAAAAGCTGTTTAACAAGGTTTTTATTTGGCTAAATTAGGTATCGTGGTTGTCTGGTTAATTCCTTAAAAAATTTTTTTATTCAAAAACAGTCCTAGTAGGGTTTTTGAATAAAAAAATTAAATTTTAAGGAATTAAACAGTCAACCACGATACCTAATTTTGCCAAATAAAAACCTCGTTAAACAACTTTTGCTTAGAACTATTTATAAAAATTTGACATTAGTAATATAATAGAACAATATTATTTTGTAAACAAAAACTTGGAACTGTCCCGTCCGTTACGCGTGGAATGGCCGATAAATAAAACTTATTAAATGACTTCAAAAAAAGTTTTACTTCAAAGTAAATTTTTAAGGTAAATTTAACAAAATATTTACTTAAATTAAGTAATATTGCCTCAAAGCTCTACGCTTTTACTTAAAATATTAAATATTAAACTATAGTTGACTAATTTCTTTCTTAAACCTTGGTTCTCTGGGTTTAACTTTTGATATAACTTTTTGGTAAATTAACCACACCTTTGGTTACTTTGGATACATTTTTTTAACCAACAAGTTATATTTTACCAAATAAATTAAAAGTAGTTAAAAAGGATAAAATAAAAAAAAAAACACCAAATAATAACTTCTTTTTAACCAAAAGGTACATTAACCAAGATGTTAAATTCAACCAACATAAAGTTAATTTAACATTGAATTGAATTCCCCACTTCCCTTGCGGCCTTGAATTCACCATTTGCGTGAATTCACCGTGAATACACCGTTTATGTGCAGTGAATATACCGTCCATTTGTGACATTTGTAGACGGTAATTAAACGGTGAACTCACGCTGTTTTTGAGATAAATTCACGGTGATTTCACGGTAAATTCACGGTGAACTCAATACATCTCACGGCTGCTTACGCAAGCGAGCTAACTATAAATAGCGTTGGGTTGCAATATTTAGTTGGAAGTGTGCGTCTGTAATGGCCTAGCTAAACATTAATCCTCATCTGCTCAGTAACGAATAATGGCTAGCTATAGTCGTGTTAAACCTATAGGATATACCTACCCTTGCGGACTTTTAGTTCACGGTTTATTCACTGTGAATTCACCGTGAATTCCCCGTTAATTCACCGTGAATATACCGCCAAAATACGGTGGATTCACAATTAAAATACTGTGAAAAGTGCGTGAATTCACCGTCTAACTACCGTTTACAAATGTCACAAACAGACGGTTTATTCACGGTGAGTTTACGGTTACAGTGAATAAACCGTGAACTCAAGGCCGCAAGGGTTATTACAAAATAACGTAAATTTAACGTTAATTTAACCACTTGTACTACTTGGCATATGTTCAAATAACATCTATGAATAATATTCTTGTAGAAAAAAAGGCCAAAGTAGCTGAACAACAAATTCGCGAAATCGCCAGAAGAGCCAGAGAAGAACATAGACTTTCAACCGCTTTAGATATCGACGCAAACTATAGCATTGTTAACTCTGGAGTGCCTCCAGGAAAGCAAGCCGTCGTGGAGTGGTACAAGAAATATGAAAAAGCTAGAATGGCAGGTTTGGATTCAGATGGAAACCTTCAAAACTGGTTCCATGGTAAGTTTATAAGACTTTAAATCACCACCTCAGAATCAAAGACCATCAGAATGGTCTAAAACGTTGAGGTCCATGTTCACATCTCTTAGACTTCGTTGACGATTTTTCATTCTGATTTGTAACTACCTCTAAAAGAATGCATTAATAAAACATTATAGTTATACATTTCTTCTGACCTTGAATTTGATTAGGTTTTAATCGTTAAAGACCACATTTTTTCTTGTTCACGGTTGAAAAATGTCTTTTCGTATTCAATGAATCTTTACTTGAAACGATATCAGAAGTAACCTTGAAGTTGGTTAGATTAATAAATTAGTTCTGTTTAAGCATTATTTTATCAAATTGCTTAAGATGACTCTTAAAGTTGACGCACGAACAAAGGTTTAACATTTTTTAGGTCTAATAACACGTACTGAAGCAGAAAAACTCCTCCTAGACCAACCTCATGGCACCTTTCTCGTAAGGCTATCGGAAAGAGTGTGGGGATACGCGATTTCATACAGAGCCAAAGAAAAATGCAAGCACTACCTGATAAACGCATCGCAGAAATACAAGTTCGCCCAGAGCACTCTCGAATACAACACTCTAGGTAAGCCACGCCCTTAGTAACCTAGCAACCCTTTGTTATTGCCATGGTAACCGCTGTTATTGCCATGGTAATGCTATTATATACCAATTATTCCACGCATTCACTTTTTGTTTTTGTTAAAAACAATTATAACTGTTTTGAAGGAATACTTATGCAACCTATTGACACGTAATTTAAAATAACGAACATTCCAATGTACGGTCGTCATACTTGCACACTATACATGGCAACATAAACAAAAAATCAAAACAAAGCAAATTTGTGGACTTTACTACCTATCTAAAAAAATGCTTGGCACTAGTAAAATTTTGTTTATTTTTTTCAGGGGATCTGATAAGCAACCATTTTAACCAGCCTTTGACGGGGGGCGAAAAATTGCTCCACCCCTGTCCTCGTATCTCGAATACGGCCCTGGATGATTTGATGAAAGTCTGAACGCATAGACGAAATTATAGATGCAATGGAGGATGCGTATTTTGATTAGTATACCCTGAATTTTTTTTGAAAATAACGTTCAAGATAAAGAAAATAATCAAATATGATCAAATTCTCTAATTTTTTGGGTATGTTGATAAAAATAGGGGCCGATATAAAATCTGTAATTTGTCAATCTAAAATATCAAAAACACTGTGATTTAAGGCATTTTATATTCTGATAGTATTAATCATACTTATTTTTTTTTATAATCATAATAAATATTAAGTCAATTATAATATTTATTATTTTTGGATAATATTCAACGAATATATGTTAATTTTCCTTTTTACTATAAATATTTATAATTTAACATAGTTTGTGATTTTCGTATTGCTTATAAGATGTATCTTTAGTTTATTAAATAATAAAAACATTAAAACTATACAAAGTTATTTTTATGTGTTTTTTATCAACTGTTATCCTCACTGGCGTTACTTGGTTAGATCTATTTATAGCAAACTTTTTTCTTGGGTTTGTGGGGGCTTCTAGATCCTAAAAATACATTACATTATTATAGAAAGTTTGAAGGACTTTTTTGATCAAAAACGCCTCCCAAAACATACCTCTGGGCAAGTTGGGTAACACAAAGTGATCAATTTTCCCGTTGGAAGATTCTTTCCTCCTCCTCAAGTTGATGTAGATAGAGGTCGTTCTTCTTTAGTGGAAAACTTCGCCAAGCTTTCCAGAGACTTCTCCAACATCTGCATCTCCAACATATTATTCCCCTTTGCTTTTTCCTTGCTTGGTTTCATGGTTGAATTATTTTTTTGTGTTACGTTCAATCTTTGACTACTTTTAGTGAGCGTTATAAGGCTTTTATCGTTTTAGTTGTTTACAACATCGCACGAGTATTTCCTCTTCATTGAATCTTCGTGTAACGTAAACCTCCATCTTTGATCATTCGACGATCTGCGAGGTTTAACCTCATCCTTTTTGTCAGTTGACATGATTATTTCTGTCTTAAACTTCCTCAAAAGAGGATTATTGAACTCCAAGTTCACCTTCTCTCTTAAGGCTGGTAAAAATCTCTGTGGAAATCGATCGTGTGTAAAAAACGAATGTTTTAGAATCTCTTCTGAAGTCATTCTATGATTTGGGTCCATTTTGATGCAGCCCGAGAGAAAATCAATCGCTTGAAGCGACCAAGATGGGAATGTTTTGTACAAATTATTCTCTCCATGGAGTTTTTATCATACCTTTCAACTGGGCATTCTTTAACATCAATTGTTGATGCCTTAAGCAAGGTTTACCCAGCCTTTTCACAATTAGGTAGAGTTGATCTATATATATCACTATCGCCAGGATATTTAGGGTCCCCAGTAATCATTTCAGCGAATAGACATCCGATGGCCCAAATATCCACTGGGGCTTCATAGTTGGGTTCGCCGACAAGTAGTTCAGGCGCTCTATACCATCGTGTGGCCACATATTCAGTGTAAGGCTCGTTCATGGTACTAACATGCCTGGTAAAACCAAAATCACATAGTTTCACAACCCCCAAAGATGAAACCAAAACATTTTCAGGTTTTACATCTCTATGGAATATTGGTATAACATAGTCGAAATACTATAAATACATATATGTATACTGTGGCAAAAAACTTATAGCTCTTGCAACTTAAAAAATACGATTCCTAAGATTTTCCTCCCCCAATCCACCCTGAGCTTTCTTCAAATTAATCCAAAACCGTACCTTCCAAATACTCTTTACTTATAAGATATATCTTTAGTTTATTAATTAATAAAAACATTAAAACTATACAAAGTTATTTTTATTCTTCTAAATATACAAATATACATTTTTAAAACGAAAAAATAAATATAAATATAGTACTACATGCACCGTAGTACTTAAACTTTGCTTTTTACAGGAAGGGTCAGGTCCAAAAAACATCTTCGCCTTTTGGCCTTTCTGTATCTGTACTCCTAAAAAAGTCTTTGGTTAAAATAAACTGTTTATAGTTTTTGCCGGGGAGGTAGATGAATGAATTCTCTAAAAGAATAAAAAAAATAGTAAAATTTAGTATAAAGGTTGTTTTTATCAACTGTTACACTCACAGGCGTTACTTGGTTAGAGTGGCTTAGATCAATTTCTGGCAAACTTTTTTTCTTGGGTTTGTGGGGGCTTCCAGATGCTAAAAATACATTACATTATTATAGAACGTTTGAAGGACGTTTTGGATCAAAAACGCCTCCCAAAACATACCTCCGGGCAAGTTGGGTAACACAAAGTCATCAATTTTCCCTTTGGAACATTCTTTCCTCCTCCTCAAGTTGGTGGAGAAACTGTTCAACCACAGAGGACTACTTTCGTCATTGGTGGTAGAATAGTTCTCCAGAACAATATTTCTTTCCAACTTCTTTAAATACGCTGGTCTTTGGTTTGATGACGTGGTTACAGGGGTCACTTTTTTCGTAAAATCCTTGTTGAAACTTATATTATTAATACTGGGCTGAAGTATATTTGGGGATTTTTGAAAGTCGTTCAAGTGATAGTGCAGCGATTGAAACTGTTGTGGCGATGTCCGTAATAACGGACTCAAAGATTCCTTTTGAGCCGATAGAGGTCGTTCTTCTTTAGTGGAAAACTTCGCCAAGCTTTCCAGAGACTTCTCCAACATCTGCATCTCCAACATATTATTCCCCTTTGCTTTTTCCTTGCTTGGTTTCATGGTTGAATTATTTTTTTGTGTTACATTCAATCTTTGACTACTTTTAGTGAGCGTTATAAGGCTTTTATCGTTTTCATTGCTTACAACATCGCACGAGTATTTCCTCTTCATTGAACCTTCGTGTAACGTAAACCTCCATCTTTGATCATTCGACGATCTGCGAGGTTTAACCTCATCCTTTTTGTCAGTTGACATGATTATTTCTGTCTTAAACTTCCTCAAAAGAGGATTATTGAACTCCAAGTTCACCTTCTCTCTTAAGGCTGGTAAAAACCTCTGTGGAAATCGATCGTGTGTAAAAAACGAATGTTTTAGAATCTCTTCTGAAGTCATTCTATGATTTGGGTCCATTTTGATGCAGCCCGAGAGAAAATCAATCGCTTGAAGCGACCAAGATGGGAATGTTTTGTACAAATTATTCTCTCCAGTTGGACTTTTTATCATACCTTTCAACTGGGCGTTCTTCAACATCAATTGTTGATGCCTTAAGCAAGGTTTACCCAGCATTTTCACAATTAGGTAGAGTTGATCTATATATATCACTATCGCCAGGATATATAGGGTCCCCAGTAATCATTTCAGCGAATAGACATCCGATGGCCCAAATATCCACTGGGGCTCCATAGTTGGGTTTACCGACAAGTAGTTCAGGCGCTCTATACCATCGTGTGGCCACATATTCAGTGTAAGGCTCGTTCATGGTACTAACATGCCTGGTAAAACCAAAATCACATAGTTTCACAACCCCCAAAGATGAAACCAAAACATTTTCAGGTTTTACATCGCAATGGAATATTGGTATAACATAGTCGAAATACTATAAATACTTATGTATACTGTGGCAAAAAACTTATAGCTCTTGCAACTTAAAAAATACGATTCCTAAGATTTTCCTCCCCCAATCCACCCTGAGCTTTCTTCAAATTAATCCAAAACCGTACCTTCCAAATACTCTTTACTTATAAGATATATCTTTAGTTTATTAATTAATAAAAACATTAAAACTATACAAAGTTATTTTTATTCTTCTAAATATACAAATATACATTTTTAAAACGAAAAAATAAATATAAATATAGTACTACATGCACCGTAGTACTTAAACTTTGCTTTTTACAGGAAGGGTCAGGTCCAAAAAACATCTTCGCCTTTTGGCCTTTCTGTATCTGTACTCCTAAAAAAGTCTTTGGTTAAAATAAACTGTTTATAGTTTTTGCCGGGGAGGTAGATGAATGAATTCTCTAAAAGAATAAAAAAAATAGTAAAATTTAGTATAAAGGTAGTTTTTTATCAACTGTTACACTCACAGGCGTTACTTGGTTAGAGTGGCTTAGATCAATTTCTGGCAAACTTTTTTTCTTGGGTTTGTGGGGGCTTCCAGATGCTAAAAATACATTAGATTATTATAGAACGTTTGAAGGTCGTTTTGGATCAAAAACGCCTCCCAAAACATACCTCCGGGCAAGTTGGGTAACACAAAGTCATCAATTTTCCCTTTGGAACATTCTTTCCTCCTCCTCAAGTTGGTGGAGAAACTGTTCAACCACAGAGGACTACTTTCGTCATTGGTGGTAGAATAGTTCTCCAGAACAATATTTCTTTCCAACTTCTTCAAATACGCTGGTCTTTGGTTTGATGACGTGGTTACAGGGGTCACTTTTTTCGTAAAATCCTTGTTGAAACTTATATTATTAATACTGGGCTGAAGTATATTTGGGGATTTTTGAAAGTCGTTCAAGTGATAGTGCAGCGATTGAAACTGTTGTGGCGATGTCCGTAATAACGGACTCAAAGATTCCTTTTGAGCCGATAGAGGTCGTTCTTCTTTAGTGGAAAACTTCGCCAAGCTTTCCAGAGACTTCTCCAACATCTGCATCTCCAACATATTATTCCCCTTTGCTTTTTCCTTGCTTGATTTCATGGTTGAATTATTTTTTTGTGTTACGTTCAATCTTTGACTACTTTTAGTGAGCGTTATAAGGCTTTTATCGTTTTCGTTGTTTACAACATCGCACGAGTATTTCCTCTTCATTGAACCTTCGTGAAACGTAAACCTCCATCTTTGATCATTCGACGATCTGCGAGGTTTAACCTCATCCTTTTTGTCAGTTGACATGATTATTTCTGTCTTAAACTTCCTTAAAAGAGGATTATTGAAGTCCAAGTTCACCTTCTCTCTTAAGGCTGGTAAAAACCTCTGTGGAAATCTATCGTGTGTAAAAAACGAATGTTTTAGAATCTCTTCTGAAGTCATTCTATGATTTGGGTCCATTTTGATGCAGCCCGAGAGAAAATCAATCGCTTGAAGCGACCAAGATGGGAATGTTTTGTACAAATTATTCTCTCCAGTTGGACTTTTTATCATACCTTTCAACTGGGCGTTCTTCAACATCAATTGTTGATGCCTTAAGCAAGGTTTGCCCAGCATTTTCACAATTAGGTAGAGTTGATCTATATCACTATCGCCAGGATATATAGGGTCCCCAGTAATCATTTCAGCGAATAGACATCCGATAGCCCAAATATCCACTGGGGCTCCATAGTTGGGTTTACCGACAAGTAGTTCAGGCGCTCTATACCATCGTGTGGCCACATATTCAGTGTAAGGCTCGTTCATGGTACTAACATGCCTGGTAAAACCAAAATCACATAGTTTCACAACCCCCAAAGATGAAACCAAAACATTTTCAGGTTTTACATCTCTATGGAATATTGGTATAACATAGTCGAAATACTATAAATACATATATGTATACTGTGGCAAAAAACTTATAGCTCTTGCAACTTAAAAAATACGATTCCTAAGATTTTCCTCCCCCAATCCACCCTGAGCTTTCTTCAAATTAATCCAAAACCGTACCTTCCAAATACTCTTTACTTATAAGATATATCTTTAGTTTATTAATTAATAAAAACATTAAAACTATACAAAGTTATTTTTATTCTTCTAAATATACAAATATACATTTTTAAAACGAAAAAATAAATATAAATATAGTACTACATGCACCGTAGTACTTAAACTTTGCTTTTTACAGGAAGGGTCAGGTCCAAAAAACATCTTCGCCTTTTGGCCTTTCTGTATCTGTACTCCTAAAAAAGTCTTTGGTTAAAATAAACTGTTTATAGTTTTTGCCGGGGAGGTAGATGAATGAATTCTCTAAAAGAATAAAAAAAATAGTAAAATTTAGTATAAAGGTTGTTTTTATCAACTGTTACACTCACAGGCGTTACTTGGTTAGAGTGGCTTAGATCAATTTCTGGCAAACTTTTTTTCTTGGGTTTGTGGGGGCTTCCAGATGCTAAAAATACATTACATTATTATAGAACGTTTGAAGGACGTTTTGGATCAAAAACGCCTCCCAAAACATACCTCCGGGCAAGTTGGGTAACACAAAGTCATCAATTTTCCCTTTGGAACATTCTTTCCTCCTCCTCAAGTTGGTGGAGAAACTGTTCAACCACAGAGGACTACTTTCGTCATTGGTGGTAGAATAGTTCTCCAGAACAATATTTCTTTCCAACTTCTTTAAATACGCTGGTCTTTGGTTTGATGACGTGGTTACAGGGGTCACTTTTTTCGTAAAATCCTTGTTGAAACTTATATTATTAATACTGGGCTGAAGTATATTTGGGGATTTTTGAAAGTCGTTCAAGTGATAGTGCAGCGATTGAAACTGTTGTGGCGATGTCCGTAATAACGGACTCAAAGATTCCTTTTGAGCCGATAGAGGTCGTTCTTCTTTAGTGGAAAACTTCGCCAAGCTTTCCAGAGACTTCTCCAACATCTGCATCTCCAACATATTATTCCCCTTTGCTTTTTCCTTGCTTGGTTTCATGGTTGAATTATTTTTTTGTGTTACATTCAATCTTTGACTACTTTTAGTGAGCGTTATAAGGCTTTTATCGTTTTCATTGCTTACAACATCGCACGAGTATTTCCTCTTCATTGAACCTTCGTGTAACGTAAACCTCCATCTTTGATCATTCGACGATCTGCGAGGTTTAACCTCATCCTTTTTGTCAGTTGACATGATTATTTCTGTCTTAAACTTCCTCAAAAGAGGATTATTGAACTCCAAGTTCACCTTCTCTCTTAAGGCTGGTAAAAACCTCTGTGGAAATCGATCGTGTGTAAAAAACGAATGTTTTAGAATCTCTTCTGAAGTCATTCTATGATTTGGGTCCATTTTGATGCAGCCCGAGAGAAAATCAATCGCTTGAAGCGACCAAGATGGGAATGTTTTGTACAAATTATTCTCTCCAGTTGGACTTTTTATCATACCTTTCAACTGGGCGTTCTTCAACATCAATTGTTGATGCCTTAAGCAAGGTTTACCCAGCATTTTCACAATTAGGTAGAGTTGATCTATATATATCACTATCGCCAGGATATATAGGGTCCCCAGTAATCATTTCAGCGAATAGACATCCGATGGCCCAAATATCCACTGGGGCTCCATAGTTGGGTTTACCGACAAGTAGTTCAGGCGCTCTATACCATCGTGTGGCCACATATTCAGTGTAAGGCTCGTTCATGGTACTAACATGCCTGGTAAAACCAAAATCACATAGTTTCACAACCCCCAAAGATGAAACCAAAACATTTTCAGGTTTTACATCGCAATGGAATATTGGTATAACATAGTCGAAATATTATAAATACTTATGTATACTGTGGCAAAAAACTTATAGCTCTTGCAACTTAAAAAATACGATTCCTAAGATTTTCCTCCCCCAATCCACCCTGAGCTTTCTTCAAATTAATCCAAAACCGTACCTTCCAAATACTCTTTACTTATAAGATATATCTTTAGTTTATTAATTAATAAAAACATTAAAACTATACAAAGTTATTTTTATTCTTCTAAATATACAAATATACATTTTTAAAACGAAAAAATAAATATAAATATAGTACTACATGCACCGTAGTACTTAAACTTTGCTTTTTACAGGAAGGGTCAGGTCCAAAAAACATCTTCGCCTTTTGGCCTTTCTGTATCTGTACTCCTAAAAAAGTCTTTGGTTAAAATAAACTGTTTATAGTTTTTGCCGGGGAGGTAGATGAATGAATTCTCTAAAAGAATAAAAAAAATAGTAAAATTTAGTATAAAGGTAGTTTTTTATCAACTGTTACACTCACAGGCGTTACTTGGTTAGAGTGGCTTAGATCAATTTCTGGCAAACTTTTTTTCTTGGGTTTGTGGGGGCTTCCAGATGCTAAAAATACATTAGATTATTATAGAACGTTTGAAGGTCGTTTTGGATCAAAAACGCCTCCCAAAACATACCTCCGGGCAAGTTGGGTAACACAAAGTCATCAATTTTCCCTTTGGAACATTCTTTCCTCCTCCTCAAGTTGGTGGAGAAACTGTTCAACCACAGAGGACTACTTTCGTCATTGGTGGTAGAATAGTTCTCCAGAACAATATTTCTTTCCAACTTCTTCAAATACGCTGGTCTTTGGTTTGATGACGTGGTTACAGGGGTCACTTTTTTCGTAAAATCCTTGTTGAAACTTATATTATTAATACTGGGCTGAAGTATATTTGGGGATTTTTGAAAGTCGTTCAAGTGATAGTGCAGCGATTGAAACTGTTGTGGCGATGTCCGTAATAACGGACTCAAAGATTCCTTTTGAGCCGATAGAGGTCGTTCTTCTTTAGTGGAAAACTTCGCCAAGCTTTCCAGAGACTTCTCCAACATCTGCATCTCCAACATATTATTCCCCTTTGCTTTTTCCTTGCTTGATTTCATGGTTGAATTATTTTTTTGTGTTACGTTCAATCTTTGACTACTTTTAGTGAGCGTTATAAGGCTTTTATCGTTTTCGTTGTTTACAACATCGCACGAGTATTTCCTCTTCATTGAACCTTCGTGAAACGTAAACCTCCATCTTTGATCATTCGACGATCTGCGAGGTTTAACCTCATCCTTTTTGTCAGTTGACATGATTATTTCTGTCTTAAACTTCCTTAAAAGAGGATTATTGAAGTCCAAGTTCACCTTCTCTCTTAAGGCTGGTAAAAACCTCTGTGGAAATCTATCGTGTGTAAAAAACGAATGTTTTAGAATCTCTTCTGAAGTCATTCTATGATTTGGGTCCATTTTGATGCAGCCCGAGAGAAAATCAATCGCTTGAAGCGACCAAGATGGGAATGTTTTGTACAAATTATTCTCTCCAGTTGGACTTTTTATCATACCTTTCAACTGGGCGTTCTTCAACATCAATTGTTGATGCCTTAAGCAAGGTTTGCCCAGCATTTTCACAATTAGGTAGAGTTGATCTATATCACTATCGCCAGGATATATAGGGTCCCCAGTAATCATTTCAGCGAATAGACATCCGATAGCCCAAATATCCACTGGGGCTCCATAGTTGGGTTTACCGACAAGTAGTTCAGGCGCTCTATACCATCGTGTGGCCACATATTCAGTGTAAGGCTCGTTCATGGTACTAACATGCCTGGTAAAACCAAAATCACATAGTTTCACAACCCCCAAAGATGAAACCAAAACATTTTCAGGTTTTACATCTCTATGGAATATTGGTATAACATAGTCGAAATACTATAAATACATATATGTATACTGTGGCAAAAAACTTATAGCTCTTGCAACTTAAAAAATACGATTCCTAAGATTTTCCTCCCCCAATCCACCCTGAGCTTTCTTCAAATTAATCCAAAACCGTACCTTCCAAATACTCTTTACTTATAAGATATATCTTTAGTTTATTAATTAATAAAAACATTAAAACTATACAAAGTTATTTTTATTCTTCTAAATATACAAATATACATTTTTAAAACGAAAAAATAAATATAAATATAGTACTACATGCACCGTAGTACTTAAACTTTGCTTTTTACAGGAAGGGTCAGGTCCAAAAAACATCTTCGCCTTTTGGCCTTTCTGTATCTGTACTCCTAAAAAAGTCTTTGGTTAAAATAAACTGTTTATAGTTTTTGCCGGGGAGGTAGATGAATGAATTCTCTAAAAGAATAAAAAAAATAGTAAAATTTAGTATAAAGGTTGTTTTTATCAACTGTTACACTCACAGGCGTTACTTGGTTAGAGTGGCTTAGATCAATTTCTGGCAAACTTTTTTTCTTGGGTTTGTGGGGGCTTCCAGATGCTAAAAATACATTACATTATTATAGAACGTTTGAAGGACGTTTTGGATCAAAAACGCCTCCCAAAACATACCTCCGGGCAAGTTGGGTAACACAAAGTCATCAATTTTCCCTTTGGAACATTCTTTCCTCCTCCTCAAGTTGGTGGAGAAACTGTTCAACCACAGAGGACTACTTTCGTCATTGGTGGTAGAATAGTTCTCCAGAACAATATTTCTTTCCAACTTCTTTAAATACGCTGGTCTTTGGTTTGATGACGTGGTTACAGGGGTCACTTTTTTCGTAAAATCCTTGTTGAAACTTATATTATTAATACTGGGCTGAAGTATATTTGGGGATTTTTGAAAGTCGTTCAAGTGATAGTGCAGCGATTGAAACTGTTGTGGCGATGTCCGTAATAACGGACTCAAAGATTCCTTTTGAGCCGATAGAGGTCGTTCTTCTTTAGTGGAAAACTTCGCCAAGCTTTCCAGAGACTTCTCCAACATCTGCATCTCCAACATATTATTCCCCTTTGCTTTTTCCTTGCTTGGTTTCATGGTTGAATTATTTTTTTGTGTTACATTCAATCTTTGACTACTTTTAGTGAGCGTTATAAGGCTTTTATCGTTTTCATTGCTTACAACATCGCACGAGTATTTCCTCTTCATTGAACCTTCGTGTAACGTAAACCTCCATCTTTGATCATTCGACGATCTGCGAGGTTTAACCTCATCCTTTTTGTCAGTTGACATGATTATTTCTGTCTTAAACTTCCTCAAAAGAGGATTATTGAACTCCAAGTTCACCTTCTCTCTTAAGGCTGGTAAAAACCTCTGTGGAAATCGATCGTGTGTAAAAAACGAATGTTTTAGAATCTCTTCTGAAGTCATTCTATGATTTGGGTCCATTTTGATGCAGCCCGAGAGAAAATCAATCGCTTGAAGCGACCAAGATGGGAATGTTTTGTACAAATTATTCTCTCCAGTTGGACTTTTTATCATACCTTTCAACTGGGCGTTCTTCAACATCAATTGTTGATGCCTTAAGCAAGGTTTACCCAGCATTTTCACAATTAGGTAGAGTTGATCTATATATATCACTATCGCCAGGATATATAGGGTCCCCAGTAATCATTTCAGCGAATAGACATCCGATGGCCCAAATATCCACTGGGGCTCCATAGTTGGGTTTACCGACAAGTAGTTCAGGCGCTCTATACCATCGTGTGGCCACATATTCAGTGTAAGGCTCGTTCATGGTACTAACATGCCTGGTAAAACCAAAATCACATAGTTTCACAACCCCCAAAGATGAAACCAAAACATTTTCAGGTTTTACATCGCAATGGAATATTGGTATAACATAGTCGAAATACTATAAATACTTATGTATACTGTGGCAAAAAACTTATAGCTCTTGCAACTTAAAAAATACGATTCCTAAGATTTTCCTCCCCCAATCCACCCTGAGCTTTCTTCAAATTAATCCAAAACCGTACCTTTCAAATACTCTTTACTTATAAGATATATCTTTAGTTTATTAATTAATAAAAACATTAAAACTATACAAAGTTATTTTTATTCTTCTAAATATACAAATATACATTTTTAAAACGAAAAAATAAATATAAATATAGTACTACATGCACCGTAGTACTTAAACTTTGCTTTTTACAGGAAGGGTCAGGTCCAAAAAACATCTTCGCCTTTTGGCCTTTCTGTATCTGTACTCCTAAAAAAGTCTTTGGTTAAAATAAACTGTTTATAGTTTTTGCCGGGGAGGTAGATGAATGAATTCTCTAAAAGAATAAAAAAAATAGTAAAATTTAGTATAAAGGTAGTTTTTTATCAACTGTTACACTCACAGGCGTTACTTGGTTAGAGTGGCTTAGATCAATTTCTGGCAAACTTTTTTTCTTGGGTTTGTGGGGGCTTCCAGATGCTAAAAATACATTAGATTATTATAGAACGTTTGAAGGTCGTTTTGGATCAAAAACGCCTCCCAAAACATACCTCCGGGCAAGTTGGGTAACACAAAGTCATCAATTTTCCCTTTGGAACATTCTTTCCTCCTCCTCAAGTTGGTGGAGAAACTGTTCAACCACAGAGGACTACTTTCGTCATTGGTGGTAGAATAGTTCTCCAGAACAATATTTCTTTCCAACTTCTTCAAATACGCTGGTCTTTGGTTTGATGACGTGGTTACAGGGGTCACTTTTTTCGTAAAATCCTTGTTGAAACTTATATTATTAATACTGGGCTGAAGTATATTTGGGGATTTTTGAAAGTCGTTCAAGTGATAGTGCAGCGATTGAAACTGTTGTGGCGATGTCCGTAATAACGGACTCAAAGATTCCTTTTGAGCCGATAGAGGTCGTTCTTCTTTAGTGGAAAACTTCGCCAAGCTTTCCAGAGACTTCTCCAACATCTGCATCTCCAACATATTATTCCCCTTTGCTTTTTCCTTGCTTGATTTCATGGTTGAATTATTTTTTTGTGTTACGTTCAATCTTTGACTACTTTTAGTGAGCGTTATAAGGCTTTTATCGTTTTCGTTGTTTACAACATCGCACGAGTATTTCCTCTTCATTGAACCTTCGTGAAACGTAAACCTCCATCTTTGATCATTCGACGATCTGCGAGGTTTAACCTCATCCTTTTTGTCAGTTGACATGATTATTTCTGTCTTAAACTTCCTTAAAAGAGGATTATTGAAGTCCAAGTTCACCTTCTCTCTTAAGGCTGGTAAAAACCTCTGTGGAAATCTATCGTGTGTAAAAAACGAATGTTTTAGAATCTCTTCTGAAGTCATTCTATGATTTGGGTCCATTTTGATGCAGCCCGAGAGAAAATCAATCGCTTGAAGCGACCAAGATGGGAATGTTTTGTACAAATTATTCTCTCCAGTTGGACTTTTTATCATACCTTTCAACTGGGCGTTCTTCAACATCAATTGTTGATGCCTTAAGCAAGGTTTGCCCAGCATTTTCACAATTAGGTAGAGTTGATCTATATCACTATCGCCAGGATATATAGGGTCCCCAGTAATCATTTCAGCGAATAGACATCCGATAGCCCAAATATCCACTGGGGCTCCATAGTTGGGTTTACCGACAAGTAGTTCAGGCGCTCTATACCATCGTGTGGCCACATATTCAGTGTAAGGCTCGTTCATGGTACTAACATGCCTGGTAAAACCAAAATCACATAGTTTCACAACCCCCAAAGATGAAACCAAAACATTTTCAGGTTTTACATCTCTATGGAATATTGGTATAACATAGTCGAAATACTATAAATACATATATGTATACTGTGGCAAAAAACTTATAGCTCTTGCAACTTAAAAAATACGATTCCTAAGATTTTCCTCCCCCAATCCACCCTGAGCTTTCTTCAAATTAATCCAAAACCGTACCTTCCAAATACTCTTTACTTATAAGATATATCTTTAGTTTATTAATTAATAAAAACATTAAAACTATACAAAGTTATTTTTATTCTTCTAAATATACAAATATACATTTTTAAAACGAAAAAATAAATATAAATATAGTACTACATGCACCGTAGTACTTAAACTTTGCTTTTTACAGGAAGGGTCAGGTCCAAAAAACATCTTCGCCTTTTGGCCTTTCTGTATCTGTACTCCTAAAAAAGTCTTTGGTTAAAATAAACTGTTTATAGTTTTTGCCGGGGAGGTAGATGAATGAATTCTCTAAAAGAATAAAAAAAATAGTAAAATTTAGTATAAAGGTTGTTTTTATCAACTGTTACACTCACAGGCGTTACTTGGTTAGAGTGGCTTAGATCAATTTCTGGCAAACTTTTTTTCTTGGGTTTGTGGGGGCTTCCAGATGCTAAAAATACATTACATTATTATAGAACGTTTGAAGGACGTTTTGGATCAAAAACGCCTCCCAAAACATACCTCCGGGCAAGTTGGGTAACACAAAGTCATCAATTTTCCCTTTGGAACATTCTTTCCTCCTCCTCAAGTTGGTGGAGAAACTGTTCAACCACAGAGGACTACTTTCGTCATTGGTGGTAGAATAGTTCTCCAGAACAATATTTCTTTCCAACTTCTTTAAATACGCTGGTCTTTGGTTTGATGACGTGGTTACAGGGGTCACTTTTTTCGTAAAATCCTTGTTGAAACTTATATTATTAATACTGGGCTGAAGTATATTTGGGGATTTTTGAAAGTCGTTCAAGTGATAGTGCAGCGATTGAAACTGTTGTGGCGATGTCCGTAATAACGGACTCAAAGATTCCTTTTGAGCCGATAGAGGTCGTTCTTCTTTAGTGGAAAACTTCGCCAAGCTTTCCAGAGACTTCTCCAACATCTGCATCTCCAACATATTATTCCCCTTTGCTTTTTCCTTGCTTGGTTTCATGGTTGAATTATTTTTTTGTGTTACATTCAATCTTTGACTACTTTTAGTGAGCGTTATAAGGCTTTTATCGTTTTCATTGCTTACAACATCGCACGAGTATTTCCTCTTCATTGAACCTTCGTGTAACGTAAACCTCCATCTTTGATCATTCGACGATCTGCGAGGTTTAACCTCATCCTTTTTGTCAGTTGACATGATTATTTCTGTCTTAAACTTCCTCAAAAGAGGATTATTGAACTCCAAGTTCACCTTCTCTCTTAAGGCTGGTAAAAACCTCTGTGGAAATCGATCGTGTGTAAAAAACGAATGTTTTAGAATCTCTTCTGAAGTCATTCTATGATTTGGGTCCATTTTGATGCAGCCCGAGAGAAAATCAATCGCTTGAAGCGACCAAGATGGGAATGTTTTGTACAAATTATTCTCTCCAGTTGGACTTTTTATCATACCTTTCAACTGGGCGTTCTTCAACATCAATTGTTGATGCCTTAAGCAAGGTTTACCCAGCATTTTCACAATTAGGTAGAGTTGATCTATATATATCACTATCGCCAGGATATATAGGGTCCCCAGTAATCATTTCAGCGAATAGACATCCGATGGCCCAAATATCCACTGGGGCTCCATAGTTGGGTTTACCGACAAGTAGTTCAGGCGCTCTATACCATCGTGTGGCCACATATTCAGTGTAAGGCTCGTTCATGGTACTAACATGCCTGGTAAAACCAAAATCACATAGTTTCACAACCCCCAAAGATGAAACCAAAACATTTTCAGGTTTTACATCGCAATGGAATATTGGTATAACATAGTCGAAATACTATAAATACTTATGTATACTGTGGCAAAAAACTTATAGCTCTTGCAACTTAAAAAATACGATTCCTAAGATTTTCCTCCCCCAATCCACCCTGAGCTTTCTTCAAATTAATCCAAAACCGTACCTTCCAAATACTCTTTACTTATAAGATATATCTTTAGTTTATTAATTAATAAAAACATTAAAACTATACAAAGTTATTTTTATTCTTCTAAATATACAAATATACATTTTTAAAACGAAAAAATAAATATAAATATAGTACTACATGCACCGTAGTACTTAAACTTTGCTTTTTACAGGAAGGGTCAGGTCCAAAAAACATCTTCGCCTTTTGGCCTTTCTGTATCTGTACTCCTAAAAAAGTCTTTGGTTAAAATAAACTGTTTATAGTTTTTGCCGGGGAGGTAGATGAATGAATTCTCTAAAAGAATAAAAAAAATAGTAAAATTTAGTATAAAGGTAGTTTTTTATCAACTGTTACACTCACAGGCGTTACTTGGTTAGAGTGGCTTAGATCAATTTCTGGCAAACTTTTTTTCTTGGGTTTGTGGGGGCTTCCAGATGCTAAAAATACATTAGATTATTATAGAACGTTTGAAGGTCGTTTTGGATCAAAAACGCCTCCCAAAACATACCTCCGGGCAAGTTGGGTAACACAAAGTCATCAATTTTCCCTTTGGAACATTCTTTCC